TATCACTCTGCGGCATCAGACTTGGGGAATGAAAGTGCAATTGCTCCCTGTGCTAGGATTTGTCTGTCATTTACTACTAAATAAACTCAAAGGTCCAGTTCTTTTTCTCTTTTTTGTAAAACTAATGCAAAAGGTAGAAGAACATTAACTGTTTCTTACTGAATTCAGACAGTGCTAGAAATAATCGAAATGCTCAAATGATTTCTGACTTGTGGCATGCATGTTGGTTGTCTTCATAAAGGAACTCACTGGATTATAACCCAAGGCCTCCCTCCTTTTCCATTGGCCACTCTGAGAAACAAAATGGCGCCTTCTCACAAGTGCCCGGGAGATCAGGAAACTGGGAGCAACCCTCCATTGCTGAGGAAGCATTCGTGTTGCTTTATACCTGTCTCAAGGGTAAAAAGTAAAGTTTTCAATAAAAAGCATTTGCCATTACCTAAGACATTTAAATTCTTCATTAAAACATAAAAAGTATTGATTGGATAAATAAGAATGCTTCAAAACAATTTGTTTGAACGTCATGGGTTTTTCTTCTTCTTTTTTTAAGATTAGAGATCGTTTTGTAATTCAATTTCACATCTAAGGGGAAAAGTTCCAAAAACAACTTCAAGCTCTTCAGCAATGCCTATAATTAGGGAGACTCTAGTACACATATCTAAATATTTCCACATTAAGGGATGCACACTTACAGGGAACAGTCACACATATTCACTTGATTTAATTTTCTGGGTGTATTTACAAGGGGGAATTCTCTTCTTCCCTGAGAGCTTAAGAAGATACGTACTTGGATCCTTCCAAGCTTAGAGTGAAGGCAACCTGGCCTATTGCGATACAGTGAAACCCTATGGACTCCCGATTTCTTCATCTTAGATGGCCATGAGCTACTACAGGAAGTGGACGGGTTGTCTCAACGAGAACGGAAACTTTTCCTTCAAAAGAGAGGAAGGGAATGACCACACTAAGATGCTAAAACCTGCCCTGGGTGCAAGTTTTTTCTCCTCGGATAATAATGATAGCAACAGTGGCGATGATGGTAACGACAGCAGCAACAGCAGCAACAGCAGCAGCAGCTGTGACTAAGCTGAACCACATTTTTGGAGCGCACCAGGCACAGTGCAAGCTCAGCCTCAGCTCAGGTCCCTCAGCCATCACCCCTGTGAGGTCCGCCCACCTCAAGGAACACTCGCTCACGTGTGCAGAAGTGATCCAAGGGCCTCGTGGGCATTCTCCAGTGTGACTCACTATAGTAACAAAAAACCTTTAAAATCTCCTGTTTCATCATAAACATATAGGTTGATTTTATATTCTATTTCATAAGTTATATGCCTCTTTTACTATTGAAATAATATTTCAAATGCTTTAACAATAAAAAAATCTATATTCCCTGAATGATTTAATTTTAAAATATTTTTCTGAGGCTGGGGGGAGCAGAAACTTAATTAAGTATTTGATTAGCAGCAAAAAAAAATCTATATTTCCTATAACAAATATTTCTTACCTGATATTTGAAACTCACTTTCACTGAAACAGTCTTGCTACATGAAAAAATATGGATTTAAAAAAAAATATGATAAATGAACTTAATAAGCTCTATTGTCCATTAAAATGAACAATTAATTAATTCACTTCATTCAAGATTTTTGTCCTCTATCTTCTCTTCTACCCCTAAAAATTTCCCTATGAGTTTGAAATCTTTTGGCCAGTGCCTTCCATTACTTAACCACAGGGAGGGACCCAAGGCTAACCAGGCAGTGGAGGGTTCTGAGGTCACAGTTTAGTGTCTGCCCCCAAGTACAGTCCTGGAGGATGTCTACTGTGGGAGTCTATTTCATTAATTCTTCTCTCCGTCCCCGTAAAGAGTCACCCTGGACAGGAAACAAGCCTGGTCATTCTGGCATCCACCTTGACTGCCCTCAGTTTAGATCAGTGGAAGAAAAGCGAGAGTTCGGAAGATAAAGGGCGTGCCCCTCCAGTTTTAAGGTTCGTTGTTTTCATTCCCATGCTCACAAAAGTTAGTCTCATGTTCACTCTGCATAACCCAGCAAAGGGGAAATTTAAATTTGCTTGTAGTAAAATTTCTTGGGCGTCTCTAACATCAAAACATTTTTCTTCAAACCTTTGAATAAACGGGCCATTCTAAAAAGATTCAACGTGTTCCATTGACGTCTTAGGTCCCAGCACTTCACTGCGATACCTTGGAGGTTCTAATGGGAAAGTGAAGACGGCTTAGACCAAATTTAGTTCAGAAAATTACCAGTGACAGCTGCTAAGTGCTGGCCAGTCAGTAGGCAAGAGAAGGTATCATTAAAAGAAGGAGATACTTTAGGAGAAGTCGGCGGAATAAAAGCACTTGTATTATTGAGTTATTTCTTTCTAAGATTTGAGACAAACCCAGGCATGTGACAAAATGCGGTTGTGAAGTGGCCTCAGAGTCACCCGTCTTCTTGCTGCTGTGGTACCTCTAGTGACGAGGAAGGTCCTATGCTGTGCTGTGTTGTTGTCATAGGGAAATTTACTGCCTTCAGGGATAAACCAAACAATAATTAGGGGGATGCAATAGCCTCTAAAGTCCTTTTGAAAAAGGACGATTCTAATAATGAGTAGAAGGAAATGGGCTGGAGTGACCTACAGGAGGTCCCTGCATTTCAGGGTCAATGACCCACAGTCGGGCCATGGCAGAAGGAACCTCCAAAAATGAAAACTACTGCCATCCCACCAAGATGACGTTACCCTATTCTGAGACATTCACAGCATTTTTGGGTGAGTTGAAACTGATCCCCATTACCTTGGAAAGAGGGAGAAACAGCGACACCAAAGAAATAGAGGCAATGTGACCCAAAGTCCCCCTGGCCCCTAATGCATGTTGTAAGCAAAGCTAGAGTGGGAAAACAGAGCTCTGTCCAGTCCCTCCTTCCTGCTCGCTCTGCATCCCCCTGACCGACACTTTGGAAGCCCATATTCCAAGCACACTGATGCGGCATCTCTGCCAAAGGACCCACTGGAACTAGCTCTGCTGGTACAATGCAATTTTTCCTGTCACTGTCCTTTTGTTCAGACACCTCTGCCTTTTCAACTTTACAAGTAATGGATAAGAACTGTACAAGATGGTTTAGAGGCAAATCGCAGAACAGAGTTGTGTAGTCAAAGGCTTAAAAACACACCATTCCAACCAACTGAAGACAGATACAGTTTTTTCAGCTATTCCCCATGGACCAGCAGCAATGGAAAGCTGTCTGTAACACCATATGACTGATGAGCTTGCTTTTCAATTTCAGTTCCTTTTAGAGGTCTCAGCCACCCCAAGGCTGCTGTGGAGTTATATACAGTATTTTCCAAGTGTTTTTTTCTGTCAGGGTGCAATGACTCTGCACTTCATCTGTCATCTAGAGAACTCTGTCTTGGGGTCAATTTTGTATGATACCTTCATCATGTATAGATGAGACTGAAAAGTTTGGAGGTAATTTTTTTACATAAAGTAAATCTTTGAAATGTTTTTTCTAATGTACTGTTAGTTATGAAAACACTCAGAATATATCCATTCTTGTGCCAATAAGAATATTACCTCTCTGGCAGTTATGGAGTCCAGTCTCTTAAGAATTGTAGCTATCCTATGTAGCCATTTATCAACTTCCAAATATAATTTAATAAATGATGAGGTGATCCGAATACTTAACACTTCACGTTGAAAATCAGTGAATTGGCATATATCAATTAGGAAAGCTTCAGTTGCACAACAGACCCACTTCTCTGGGAAACTCCCAGCCTGGAATTTAAACGTCCACATCCTGCTCTATTAACATTACAAAAAACGCTTAAAACCTTTAAGTCTCTTTCAAGAGCTCATAGTGAATTTATTGTACAGTTTTTCTGCCAAATGTGGAGAGTGAGCTGATAGACCAAAGTTGTCCCTAGATGAAACCCTAATTTACGGAGTTTCCCAAAAGGACAATCACCGCATTGGGGGAAATAACGCCAGGGATTGAAAAACCCCGGAGCTCCTCCGTCTAGAAGTTATATAGAAGTTAACTCTTCTATATAGTGAACAAGCTCTGTGACTTTCAAGGTCACATGTGTGCTCTTCTGTCCCTGCACCTGCACTTCTGTTGGGCTTGGATGACAGAGCAGATGGCTCTGACTTACGCCATCAAGAGCTCTGGGCAATTCGGGGTGCCCTTGCTTTCTTTCCTACTCAGTTTTGTTTGACCTCATTGACTCAAACGTTGAGTAACACCAAACTTATGTGTTTCAGTCATATGCAGTACAAATAACCCACCTTGGATTGAGGCTTACCGACTCATTAAGAATTTGAATCATCTCTGTTCATTCCTCATCATCCTCAAAGTTATTGAGCAGGTGCTACAACAGCCTCTGTTAGAGCACCAGCTTTCAAATCTAGTTTTAAATCCTATCCTATCCATCCATCTATCCATCCATCCATCCATCCATCCATCCATCCAACCATCCATCCATCCATCCCACATTAGCTGGGCACCTCTTATGTTTAAGCCACTGTGTGTTAGATATTATGGGTGTTACCATAATGTAAGAAGATAGCTGAAGAGAGTATTATTCTTAGTTTACAAACTCAAGTAAGCAAAATTAAAAGCTGTATTTCCTAATTTCTTTAGAGCCTTCACCCCCTCAGGCTGAAAGATCACTCGGCTTCAGTCATCATTACCAGCCACACCATAGAGAGGAAGCCGGAGAGAGTCACCATATGCTTCATTACATGGTTTAACTGGCTTTTCATGCCCGAACCTCGTATTATTTTCTGATTCTCTGTACCTAGAATGCTTAAATACCAATTTCAACTTTGGTGGTTGTCCTCGGGAGCTAAGTGAAGTAAGGAGACAGCAAACAAAAAAATGGAAGATTCGATTACTAACTCCATGACTCAGCAGACACATTTCATTTATTTGCCATTCACTGGGCACCCAATATGTACCCAGGTCTGTGCTGGCACAGAAAATATAAAGATGAAATAAACATCCCTGCCGTCCAAGGACCCAAGGCTGCATTCTTCTCAGTGGTAGAGACTTGTGTTTATCGTAGCCATTAAAATGTTGTCCACACACCTCTGTGTGCCTCCTGCAATGGAAGCAAATAAAAATGTTTAAAGGGTGGAAAACTTAAAGAGCATTTACTTAAATCACATAAACCTAAAGAGTGTTTAAAAGCTTGCCTGGACATTGTGAGTTTAACTTGGGGCAAATGGATTGTCAAATCCCTTAATTCTCAGCTCTTAAAAACCTAACGTAATTACAACAGTTCTGACCACTTCTCAACTTTGTAAAATAGTAGATATATGAACAGAAAACATGCATCTACATACAGTTCTACTAATGGCTATGCCCGAATGGTGTGTGGTTATTTTATTCTTTACACATTTCTGAATATTTTAAGTGTTCTACAATAAATATTTAGAAAAAAATACTTCAAATAGATTGGATATATTTTATTTAGTTATTTCTTAAAAGGAGAAAGCACCTTGAATGGAATGTGCTTTTATTCAGACTTTTCAAAGGGCCATTCTTGGGAAGTGTTATTAATTGGAGCTTAAAGGCAGGAACCTGGCATCCCTGAGACCTACTCCCAGAAATGGTATTAACCCATTCAGTAGCCTTAAGCTCTTCACTTAACCTTTTAACGGCACTCTTTGTTAAGAGAGGATAATAGCCCTTCTTGGGGAATTACAATAGCAAATTACAATAGCTTAGGTTTGTAAAGTATTTTAAAGATGAATTTGCATGTATTTAATGGCTTTGTCATTTTTGGTATGATTTAAAGAAATAATGAGGATGGTAATTAATTATCTTAAGTGTCAATATGCTCTCCTGGTAAAAGAAAACAGAACTTAATATACAGATTGCTAGAGACCAAAGCCTTGATGAATAGGAGGAGGCAGCTTTTATTCTGAAAATAAGTCAGATGAAAACAACTGAGTGTGTGCTCTTTCTCCAGGACATACACAGCTGGTTCTTCATAAAATTTTATTTTTTAATGTATTTTTTGAGGCTGAGTGGGAGTTGGGAATCTCATATATTCTTTGCAATATTAATTAAAATACTAATAGGATGGAGGGAAATCCTAGAAAACTGAGAAATGATTTTAATAAAAGCTTTTTCCATGTGAGGTAGGAAACAGACAGTATAATGTTTCTTAAGTCAGTATCCTTCTGCAGATGAAAAATAAAATTCTCCAAACCTGACTCAGTCTAAACTTAACTTAGTGGGGGGCAATGCTACTCGTGTACTGTCTGAGGCTTAAGAAATTAATGGGTTAGAGTGAAATACCGATTAAAGTCAAATGGTTTCAAAATAACTTCTGGAAGCAAACGTTACCAATTTTTACCTTTAAAAATCATTTGCTTGTAACAAATCAAAATCTATTAGAGGAAAAACACATTGATGTTTTTTGCATCCTTGAAAGTGTAAGTAAAGAAAACATGGAACTGGGGTTCTGGGGGAGATGAGTAGCATTCTCTTAAGGGTGGAAGGACCTTCTTAAATGCTGACAAAAGTCCTGTTTAATTGCTTAAGAAAGTAGATTATGTCTTTGATTTCTTTAGAGAAACCCACGTTCGAAATCAGTAGTGAACATGTGGTTTGTGTTGAGTTCATGTCAATGCAATTCGTTCCAGGTCTTGTATCTCCAACTGTCCTGTTCCTATCAACACCAGACTATGAAGGAAAAAAGAAGGAACCAAGCCAGATCTTTTGAGGAGCAGAATGTAGGACACAGGAAGTTCCGTGACCTCGCCCACGCCCTGCGGTGATGCCATGTCCTTGCCTTAATCCCCGCCCCTCCTAATGTCACAAGGGGACTTGTCTCCTGCTGAGCTATTGCTGTAGAAGTACAGAGCTGTCGAAGGCAATTTTTATAAAGGAGGGTGTTGCCTTCCAGGCCCAAACTCTGAGACACAGCCCCAAACTGGCCCAGCATTTTCACACATGCTCACCTGCGCCGAAAGAAGCTTGCTACCTGTTATAAAGGATTAGTGAGGGTCTGTCTTGTACCTTCTGGCTCTAATTTTGTTCTTTTGAACATTAGCTCAGGCTCCTTTCAGGTTTACAATTTTCTTGAACTTGCTTTGCCATTGTAATGAACAATGAGTGGAAACATAACTCAGCGTAAGGCAGCTTTATTCACATATTTGCTGAAGGTATTATTTACCTGCTCGTCTAGATATGCCAGGAAAGAACACCGTTTTACAAAGGTCATGGACCTGTAGCATCCGTTATGTCGTGAAAGAAACGTGCACGTCCTGGGTATCTTCCTCATTTCAAGAATATGAACCCGGTGCCCCTTGTCTGATATTCTCTGTCAGCAATGGCCCGATTGCGAAAACAAAAGGAACATGTAAGAATGGGAGAAAAGTTGGATGCCAGCATTTCTTATGGTCCTTGCCACTGAATGCCTTGTGTCTCTGGTGTATAGATTTTTAGCCAGTTAGTCATTATTACATAATGAATATTAATAATAGTAAAAGATTAAGTGTTGAGATAAAATTAGAGTACAGTAGGACGTGTGTGTTAATAACCTAACATCTTTAACACTTGAGCATTTGTACTAAAGATCTTGGCTTTCTGAGATTTCTGTCTTTTCTTTCTCAGAGTATTTTTATGTGTATTGCAGAAACAAATAAAGTTGAATAACAAGTTAAAACTGCATTGAACTCTGGAAATTATTCATACTATTTTTCTTAATCGCTCACTCTCATTTACTAATAGACTCCCTAAACAGTTGGTTGGGAAGTTAAGGACTATAAGGGTTCAGTTGCCTGAATAAAACCCAGAGATGGGGCATTAGGAACCCTCAGTCTTAGCAGTAGCTCTCAGTTGAAGAGGAGAAAGCTTGCTTTCACTGGCTCAAAGATACAGTCCTTAGACCCTTCTCTTTGTCTATTAATTCCCTTAGTGTCATTATCACATGTTCATATAAATGTTTCCATTGGCTATGGATGGCAAGAGAGTTGAGATTCTGGGACTTTCCATTTAATGCAAATTCAAGAAGTATCTTTTAAAGCCAGACATTAAGTATTGTACCTTATCTGTCCTCTGAGCACACTTGTCTAAGGGTTGACCACAAGTTTGGAGGCCATATGCTATGCTTCTATATGTCTTCTGCAAAAGAAGGATTAGCATACACCCACCACACTTCTATCCACATCCAAGTAAAGCCGACCTTCAAAGGGAAAATTGCACAGTATTTTACGTTTTTCATTTTAGTTCCATATTTATTTGTGTGCGTTATTGTGGGTTATGAACTCTTGCCCATATTGCCATTGACTTCCAACCAGTCATGGCACTTTCCCCTTCTATGGGTAACTTGCAGTGGGCCAACCATGAGTCAAGTGATGGCTGCCTATGATTAAAGTCCTAGAGATTTCTCTCAAGTAAAGAGTATGAATCACTTTTGAAGAGAACACAGTACTATCACAATCATATATAATTTAAAAAGACATATGTACCCCTATGTTCATTGCAGTATTATTTACAGTAGCCAAGATACAGAAGCAACCTGGGTGTCCATCGACAGAAGAATGGATACAGAAGAATTGGTACATATATAAAATGGAATATTACTTGGCCGTAAAAAGAATTACATCTTGCCATGTGTGACAACATAGATGGATCTTGAGGGTATTGTGTTGAGTGGAATAAGTCAGGCAGAGAAAGACAAATACTGTAGGATTTCACTTATATACGGAATCTAAAAATAAATAACAACACAACAAATGAATAAACAAAACGGAAATCTATCCATAGGTATGAAAAACAAGCTGACGGTTGCCAAAGCATAGGGGATAGTAAAAAAAAAAAAAAAAGCACCGGCAATGAATTGCTGCCTCAGGGAGCTCTGAAGAAGGATGCTATGGCTCTGCCACCCACCCCCCCAAAAAAGGAAAGAATGTGGGAGAAGGCAGCTAAAGTAGTGCAGAAAACTGTCACGAAAGGGAAGAGGTTAAAAAGAAAGAGCCAAATTTGAGTTAGAGTGTGCCCTCTCAGAGAGCTCCATAATTTATTTATGTAAAATTGTGCAACATCTATATAAAAATAACTTTTATAATCAAAATGTTATTTGTTCAGGGAAATTGATTATCTGCAGTAGAACTAGAATGGTGACACTGGGCTCATGTCTCAGCAGCTGTTTTAATATTAAAACCACTTGTGCATGAAGAAGAAGATGCGGTCTGAGGAATCCAGGAAGACTTCAAGGTTTGAACTGGAAAAGGGAAACGGAGCTTGTTCCAGCTCGACCGATTTAGACAAGCACACACAAGAAGCGAAGGTTTAAGGCGCACAGGATGATGAGAAGATGCGTCTAAGGAAAACAGGAGAAGGGATGGCACAGGGGTTGTTTAGAATCAATGATAGAAGGGCTGTGCTTCCAATCAGCTAATGTATGAATCCTTATTAATATTTGGTATTTATAATTACTGTTTATAATAGTTCCATGAAGCAGGATGGCTCGAAGAAGTATTTACCATTTAAATAATAAGATTGATAGAACAGATGAGTTCACCTTCGCTATTGAGTTCCCCCAACATTCTTACCCTCAAATGTGTGGAAGCTATGTTTTCCTCAGGTTCTGGGAAGTTTGTTGAATATTATTGAATGTGAATGCAAAGCACAGTTCTAGAAGACTTGTGCTTTCTAGGGGAAGTAACCTGACTGGTACATTATATGATGTGTGTGGCAAAAAGAAAGGTGGATATTTAGGTGCAAAACCATTACATTAAGTGCTGTATTTACTGAAATTGCTTCCCATTGCCTGGAAGGAAAATGGGGGAGAATTTAGTTTTAAAGTGATAAAAACTTGCCTAAATCTGGTTCAAATTACCTAATCTAATGAATGATTTACTTCTAAAAGACCATTCACACTTGAGCACTGTAGAATCAATCATAACAAAAAACTTAATAACTATTTTTTTACATTATCAAGCAATATTTATTTTACTGAAGTAAACATAGAACACAAAACTATAAAAACATATTCTCTACAGTATACTGCTTCATCTAGAGGTAAGCAATTTATCTACATGAATAGTAAGAAACAGTTGACTGCTGTGTTTTTACAGAAGAGGCTACAGTTTTGTGTTTTAACAGCTTTAATGACAAAAAATGTTTGAATATGACTGGAAGAGAAAGCAAGAAAAATTATAGGTAGCTTTACATGTAATTAATATTAATAGAATTGGCAGTTTCTTTTAGGTCATCTCTTCACCAATGTAGAATGGAAGCAAATTTTAAAATCGTTGTATATTTTACATATTGCGACATTTTAATCAGCAAAGAAAATCAGCCTCAAAATTTTCTTCAGCAAGTTAAGTATACTATTAATATTAACTGTGAACTAGAAAATATACTCATATGGGGATGGTGGTTTTTAAATATCTAGCTGATGTTTTTCATGGGTGCTATGATTTGTATAATTCAATATTGAAATAAAACACATTCATTGGAAATTAAGCTATTTGAATGTCTATGCAATTTTATACTTTTAGTCCTTCAAATAATGGGTACTTTTAGACCAAAAAGTCAATATACATGTACTTGGTTAGTAAAACTGAGTACTGAGCTGTATATTTGTGCATGCGACAGTGTGTGTTGTATTTTTTATGAACTTCTTTGAATCCAGGGTGAATGACTTGCAAAGACAGACTGAGGGAAAGCTGGCACATTGGCCGGCCCGCTGAGACAGAGGACAGAGCCCTACTGCGTGGGGTCTGCCAAGGAAGCACCGCTCAGTTTTCTCTGTGAAAGAAAACAGTAGGCGTGGGGACATCGGGTGGGATCTGGTGGGAACAGGACTCAAGGCAAGAGCAGCCCTGAGACACAGGTGAGGCCATGGGCTCACACTGGTGGAATCCATTGACTCCCACACCTGTTTCATCCCACACCTGTTTCATCCTGGGGAAATTTAGTTTCAGAATTGACTGATTGGGAATGCAGAATTTTTTCCCCTAAGAAAACAGTCAATTTCTGCAAGAATTTCACAGCACTTCCTGAATTTGACATCAAAATTTGCTGGCATCTTTACAAAGGGTGAGGGCGGCAGGAGCAATGGCGGACACCAGAATGGGTCTTGGCTGGGCTTGTCTAGGTGAAGCACTTAATGTGGATTTATTAAATCCACAAGCTTAGAGATGGGCTCCAGTGATTTAGAAAAGAGATGAAAGACAGAAATTATAGTATTCTGACAATAACTTTATTAAAAAATCCATCAATGTTCCATTTATTACATGAGAAATTTACTTCATACAGTGTATTTGGTTTAAATCCTTTCTCAAATCTTCATCAGCAGATTAGCTCCACAAAGATACTGCATCTTACAAATTCCAAGAGATTAAAAGGAGGCAATCGGGCTGCAGAAAGAAATGCAATATCACCTGATACTTGTTTTTCATAGAGGATCAGATTCTCAAAGGGATCTTTTGGTGAAGTATCATTAGGTCAGGCTTAATATCAGCATCCATATTGCTAGCCACATTGGTATGGCCGGAAATAGTTAATATGTCTTTGAAAAGCAAATAGTTTAGTGACTATTTATTGGCAGGGCTTGATAAATGGTCCCCAATGTGCTATAAAATCTTATTATATTGTCCCACTATATTTTTTTGAGACAGGTGATTATGGCCACCTGTCAATCATACTAAAGTGATAAAAGGCAAAAGTAGTAGGCAATTGTGGTAACTTGAAGAAATAAAAACTTACGGATTCCAGCAACATGCCAGAGTTATTAATGTTTAGCATTCAAAGGTAACAGAGGTTAACTGGCCCAATTCCCTTGTTCTGCAACTGAGAACACTGAGTTATAGAGAGAACTCTGTAGCTCACAGCAGGTGTATCTGATTAAGACATGCCCTGCCACAGACGCCCATCCAGGGTCCTCTTTTCTCAACCTCTGACCATGTTTGGAGAGAAAGTCCCTATAACTAGAGCCCAGAAAAACTATAAGTACAGTAGATGATATAGATGAGTGTATCTGATATTCAGATGAGACAAAGGTCATTTTTCTGGGAAGATCAAGAAGGGCATCGAAGAGGAAGTAGAGTGTGTGTGTGTGTGTGTGTGTGTGT